TTGCAGAATAAAGGAAGCGCCTCTAAACTAGGCAACATTTTGCTAAACGAATCACTTATAGCCCCGACCGCATTAGGACATGAGAAGAACCCCTCTGGAGAACTGAGCTAGAAGCGGTTGCAAACTCGATCTTAAAAATAAAATAGATTGTTGCTTGACTCTGACTATTCTGCGTTGATTTATGCATCTGGTTCTTTATTGACAATCCACACAAGACTCAACACAACATACGGCACGAAAGTGGCACAACTAGAAATAAGGCTGATGTGTGAAAGCTGACATGATACAGGCAACCTCGGCGGATCGACAGGTATGCTGCAATGCACATAAGTTCCAAGGAATTTGACTCGTTTTTTTTGATTATTTATCAAATACGAGTCGTCTTACCCGGGAATAAGAGTTCATAAGCCGCTAACGAGAGCGTGAACAACAAAGCTTGACAACCAAATGGAAGTCGAAGGACATGTAATAACAAATAGCCGTTCGTTAGCATTTGGTAAAAGGAAGGAACGCAAAATGCATCAGATGACCACAAAAAACGTGGTATGATGCATGCGTCAAGTTTTGCGTGTAAGGTGTGTAAATTCGTGGGTACACAGTACAAAATAATGCGAAATGTGTTAAATGTCAATTCATGGATTTCTGAGTGAGTTGCGTGGCGGTTCGATAGTGTGATGTACAGAATGGGTGTTACGTAGTATCACCGCACTATACGGTGAGCAGGTAATTGCGCGGTACATGGTTAGGAAGCAACTTTGCATTTGTAAAAGCAATGGTAAGACTAACATATGAACAGTATTATCAGTGCATACTGTGAGAAATTCATGCTGTCAATTTCGCCCTAGGCACGTTCCACCACATTCAACCATTTTTTGCCATATAGAAATAAACGTTAACCAAAAGCATGTACCCCCAGAAATTTTTAATCAAGGGGGAAAGGGTTTTGGAATTTGACGTACACTGCAAACATAAATCGTAAATGTTGATGGATGAACTCAAGTTAATGATTTTTACGTCTGCTATTTCATGTCATTTTATTTCCTGGGATCTATTACAAGACTTATAGCTACCATGTCTGTCTGAGAAAGAGTGGTAGCAACGAGTACAGCTACCCCATACATTTACCTTGGAGTAGAAGTTTTGAAAAGAGGTTATACTTATAGAGTAGTTTTAAAACAGCTATTAACTTTTACTTTACCTTGAGTAGCATGATTTGTGAAAAGAAACTGTATCTCTTACTCGCTTACCATTAGGTTACATGAGCTCGTCACTTTCTTTTACTCTGCTTGTCTTCTGACGCCCTCATTGTAATTTTATCTTTGACGCAGGAGACGAGACTTCCGCCAGAAGGACGTGAACGTGTTCTCACCCCAATGTCACAACGTGAGCC